TCCTTGTGTAATTTGACGCTGACAGCCCACAGAGAGTATTTGATTTATGGTTGTCTTTGTACTTGAAAAAAACAAAACCTATGAAAATACTAAGACATGTTAAACGTGGTTTCTTCATTTGTCATTGCTACAAAACAGAAAGTATAAATAAATCCCTTTTGAGATAGCATCCATAGACGCTGTTTATCTGTGTAAAAATGTACACAGCCAGTATCAGTAATTTCTTCCACCGCATTGCATCTAATACAAATGTTCATTTGAACCGTCACAAGGGGTTACTTCAAAACTGCATAATATTCTATGTGCTAAGAAACAAGTAGTACAGTGAAAGCAAATGAACTGTTAAAATCCACAGACAATCATTGCTTCAGGCTAAAAGGGAGATCACTGGGCAGATACTTGCAGTAAAGTACACTTTATGGTTCCACACTAGACAAACACTTTGATAGTCAAATGTCTAAAGTTAGCATTTCTCAATCAGACTTAAACAAGAATCCAAAGTCTACACTCACACAGGAGAACAATTTTGGAAAATGCTTTACACCTACATCCCATCTATGATTTCTGTAGAATATAAACAATCTAACCAACCAGCCATCTCATTTTGCTGTGAAAGATAAAGCACAGAAACATTGTTAAGAAGAACACACAGACATTTTCTCATTCCACTTCAAAAAATTCAGGTAGAATGCTATGAATTCTTGTGAAACTTCTTCTTACTCTGCAAATTTTTTGCAGTTGATAGTGCTGACATAATTTTAAGACCAATACCATTGTCATCTAGCTTTATTTCACAGTTGCAATTGAGTTCTTTCTACCCCGTAAATTATGTTTTTCTAATACCTGACCAAGAATTAGCTAAAATTAGATATGATTCAAAACAAAGATCTTACCTCCATATACAGATTCTGAATTTGCCAAAGATAAAAAAAAAAAAAAAAAAAAAAAAGGAGAGGAAGGAGGGGAGACAGGGATTTAAGATAACTCATAGAGAATAGAAACATTTTTTGTATCACTTGCTCATGCTCAGAATTGTAGGGGAAAAACTGTGATCCTTTACAAACCCAAAATAGAAATCAAATGGAAATACTTTAGCAAAGCTCCAGAATGCAAAATGTAAGCTGGATATTACAAAATGCAGTTAATTTCAGAAATAATTAGCCTTCAGGCATGGCGAGTGATTAATAAAGATTGTACATCAATGGATGCTGCTTAAAAAAAAAAAAAAAAAAACACCTTTTAAAACTATCATTAATTTAAATATATATATATAAAAAGAAAAAATAAAATACATAAAAATAGATATAAAATTATATATATATGTATGTAGAATTAACTTATTTTATACATTAAAAACATGGGTATCTTGAATGCTTACATTGGTAACAAAAATAATTTATTTAAAGAAACAAGACAACAGGAAGGAAAAAAAGATTATTGAATAACATGCATCCAATTCTGGAGCCTCCAACACAAGAAGGGCATGGAGTTATTCGAACAGGTCCAGAGGAGGGCCATGAAGATAATCATAAGGCTGGAGCACTTCCCCCTACAGGGACAGGCTGAGAGAGCTGGGGCTCCTCAGTTTTGGAGAAGGCTCCAAAGGAGAGAATACAGAGGCTTTTCAGTACCTGAAGGGGGCCTACAGGAAAGCTAGGGAGGTACATTTTATAAGGTCATGTAGCAAAAGAACCAGGGGAAATGGCTTTAAAGTGGAAGAGGGTATAAATAGACTAGATATTCTACTGTGGGGGTGGTGAGACACTGGAACATGTTGTTCAGAGAGGCTGTGGATGCCCTCTACCTGGAGGCATTCAAGGCCAGGCTGGATGGGGCTGTGAGCAACCTGGTATTGAGGGAGGTGTCCCTTCAAGGGGGTTAGAACTAGATAATCTCAAAGTTCCCTTGCAACTCAAATCATTCTAACATTCTATGTGATATATCTGAAAACATCTACTCCGTCTGCAGCACATGTGAGGTTTTATTAAAGCATTTAAGAGAAAATAATTCTTCTGAAACCTAAAATCTAAACTCAGGAATTCATGTGTGTTCTCAAACTAATTAGATAAACCTGAAGTGAAAGGGAATGGCTGGTAGCAACTAGCAGGTACTTCTGGTAGCTCAAAACATAGCAAGGATTGTACTTTGTAATTAACAGATTCATGAGCTTGCTTTCTTAGATTATTTCCCACCAGCACAGCTTTCTCTTAAGCCTGAAACCAATTTGCAAATGTCACTAAATAAAAAACTTATTTTTATTACTATGACACATTTACTATGAAAAATTACATTGAAAAATACCCTCAATTCTAGCTATTCATTCATTATCTGTTTAGAACACTATCTTCAATACAAATTTCTTGTCTCTGGTTCTAAGCTTTCTTTGATTTTAGTGTTGGAAAGTTTGTCTAACAATATTTTATAGTGGAAGAGCAAATCTAAATCTCATTATAGATACACTAATAATGAAAGATCAGTATGCAATTACAATACATTTCAAAAGCAGTTTTATGTTGTTTGTACAAAGTCAGTACTTATAAATCTTTCGGAACACCGTATGAAATTATTTTAGTTAATTATTTAGAGGGATTCTCACAGAAGTTGGCAGAGTTTCCCATTTATACAGAGCTAGAAACCATGTGCAAAAAGACACTACCATCCATTTTGTAGTTAAATTGGTACAGGTCGTGTCTACATTTTTACTGTAATGTGACATTATTTTGTGGGAATGGAAATGCAGTCTATTGAACTGAATGTTTCTAACCCTTAAGCCCTAGAGTCTTAGTGGCTTGTTTGTTTTTGTTTCTTTGTTTACACTACAATTATTTTCTTTTTAGTTGCAGCACTTAAGCGATATTACGCAGGACAAATTAACTTCAATTTCTTGTGTTTCTAAACTGCATTTATGGAACAGACACTTGTAGTAATTTTGAAGAGATTTGAACTGTATTTCATGGGACCAAGCATGGGCTGAGTGGTCTGTAAGAACCAAAGATTTTACTGGCCGACTTGGGCTTTAAGTAGAAGAGGAGAGCAGACAAAGAATTGTTGTCCTCTCTCCTCCCTTTCAGTTTTTTCACTTAACTTCTGCTATGCTCATTGATGGCAGAGGAAGGCTCTCTGACAATTACAAAAAGCAAAGAGATGAAAGAGGCTGAAAAAGTTTCTTTGGCTTTGCAATGATATAAAATCAAGCAGACGAGCAAGCGAGCTATTCGCACTAGCATTGTGAATTCTGCATTGTAGAGGGGGAATTTTCTTCTTTGAAGACCATCTGATGTGTTATGTTTTCCTGCACACCTACTATATGTAAAAGTTCTTAGTAAGCCTTAGCAAGCAAGAAGTACGTGATTAAATGCCAGATCCCTCCAATGGGATACTGCACAGACAATTACTACTACTTTGATAGTAATACTTTGCTTCTGGGGAAATATTTTCTTTCTTTCTTTTCTCAAGGAGGTGATCACAGCTCTTCAAGGTCAAAAAATAGGTTGAGAGTATTGCCAACTGCTAGAATCCAGCAGTCAGCAGCAGCTCAGATTCCCTTGAGTCATCAACAATTCAGCTCCTCAAACAAAGCATGGGAATGAGAACAAGCTTTAATAACTTGCTTTAGGTATTTACACTAGGCAGGAAATGTCTATTTAGTTGCTGACTGCAGTTGCCTTCATGTAAGTCTGAACAAAGCAGTAGGAAGAGAAAGGAGAAATTGAAAGATGTTCCTCTCAAGGCAGAACATGAACAGGAGAATGAGAGCAGAAGAGAAACAAAAAGTAAAGCTGCACGCACAGCCTATCTCCATCTCATGCTGCCATCCATTCAGGTTGCTAAGTCATGAATCAAGATCATCTCTGTGTTCTCCAAGAATTTAAGAAACTTGTATGTTTCAGTTGGTATCTAACAACCATTCCTCTATTGCTTTCTCATTAAGTAATATGACACAGTGGTATCTCGAGAAGGAAAGTTATTCTCATAACAGGTACATTTTGCTGAAGTCTATTTTAGATTGCTATTGCATTATGCCTTGTTTGTAGTCTATAGTTTTATTTAACTATAGGAGAAGATCACCTGGCTTTCTATCTTTATTACTGACAGTAACAAGCATTCACTTTGTCAAAGAGTAAAATAATCTATGTGATGAACAATGAGTTTGTGCTAAAAATGCAACTCTCATTTGCTGTTGCTGTACTATTATTTTCCTAAACTGCAAACATCATCAGTCATTGAAGACAAACTGCTGTGCTATGACAGAATATATACGCTTGCCTTACAGTCATGCTTTTCCTCTTTCATAATGGACATTATTCATAATGGAAATAGTAAATCTTAATGACTGGTTTCAGAAAATTTGGCATCAGAAAAGTTCATATTTTATGCATTATTTTGAGAGTCGTTTTTCAGAAAAAAAAGGCATAGTAAATCAGAACTCAAGAAAATGATTCACTGATACTGATTCAGAAGCCATTTAAGTTGATTATTTTTATCATAAAAATTGACATCATATACACCATGAGGCTGGTGAATTTCTCCATTACTAAGTTATGGATTTGAAGTAGTAAATACCTTCAAGTACATGGTTAAATCAAACCAGTGGTAAATGGGCCTTACATCTGTTTGGTAGTTCTTTATATTAATGTTGAAGGAGGAGAAATTCAGTGATGGCAATTAATACTGATTTGTATACTGGCATTCTAGCTTTGTCACCATCTTTCTTCTCCATTTACTTAACCATCACATCACTGCAACATTTTTTTAATTGAAACAAACAAACCAAAAAAGATTCCAAAAAAAAAAAAAATGCCAGAAGCAAATCATTTTGGAGCTTTTTTTTTTATTGTCAAGTGTCCCTACTTTATTTCCCCAGACATATCCATAGATTTTCTTGACCGGTTGATATTGAATATTGTCATGGGACTGAAATTATATCATTCTCACAATTACTTTCTATATGGATGTATATAATATATAACAGAACGAAAACATTAGTAATCAAAGAAAAAAAGAGGCAAAGCTACCATAACAGTGCATATACAGCAATATATTTTACATGTATCTGGCTCCTGCAACACAACCACATCCTTAAGTGGCTTTAGGTGACTTACATAATTTATTAGGATAGTTAAACGCTTCAAAACAGGATTAACAAGACTGAGCACATGGAGCTGCTGAACCTAATACATCAGTAAATAGGGTACTTTAAGCTGAATTTCTCTTCAAGATGTAAAGAGACCCCTTCATAAACTTGAAGTTTGAATTCAGAGCTAGAATTTGTTGAGCCAGACATAGTCACAGAGGATTTATTTCAAAGACTCTCTTTAAATGAGGAAATAAATAAAATCTGTTTTTATCTATGAGTCTTACAGTTACTTAGAAGTCATTTGGAAATCACAGTTTAATTCTCTTCTCTAAGAGGATTTAAAACATTTTACCTTCTACAAACAGCATACATATTCCATGTTGGGCATCAGGAATGAGGCTATCTCAGCCCAGGCTCCTGAAAATATTTCACTTTGTGTCAAGCTTTAGATGACTGCTCATCTGGGATCAAAACTGTCAAGATCTGTAGTAGAGTGCTCATCAGAGAAGGTAGCATATTGTTCCTGTCAAAAAAAAACAAAAAAACAAAAACATATATACAAACAATTTTCACACAATAACATAGTATAGGCTTTCTGAATATTAGCTTAATTAGTAGTATTAAAAAAAAAAAAAAAAAAAGGCAACAAAATTACTAACAGAATTGATTTGTATGATTGACTGTATAGCTCAAAGGAACTCCCTGCTCCTCCTCCCTTAATTTCTTGCTTTTGAAATGTGCACTCCTGATAACAAAATCAAATGAATTAAGTTTAACTCCATATGATCATTGTATGATTGTGGTATAGACTTGTTTTCATAATATTCTATGTCAACGTGGAAGAAGATCAGTTAATTGCAGAAAAGCAACTTAACTGCTGTAGGACAGTGCATTGTTCTACTTAAGGCTATACTTACATCCCAACCTTTGCAGCATTACTTATGCGGCAATTCTCGATGAACAATTGATTTCTTATTTTCCATTAGTCAAGTGAAGCAGCTAGAAGATAAAAATAATCAAGAATGAGCACAATAATGTATAGAAAAAAACAGCATCCAAAAGAAAATTTTCCCTTTGACAGTTCCACTGAATGTTTATTCTTTGTGACATATGTGAATACAATGAATTCCAATTCAATTAGCTATAGTCTATTCATGAGGTTATATATAAAGTGCAGTTAAAATTTGAGTCTACTGAGATAGCTTGAAAAAATTTGGCTATTCGAGGCAAAACCACAAGAAGCTATAAATAAACAGAAAATATTAGAGTCATTATTCACTTCTTGAGTCAAAACAAAAGTTGTAACTCATGTAAGCTGTGATTATACTCATGCTGAAGTGAAATGCGTACAAAAATAACCACTAAAAATAAATTTTATTGTCATCCTTGTATATTATTATCATTTTAGATATCTAATCCTCTGTAACCAATTTGAGAAAGAAATTCCAATGGCATGAACTTAGGTGAGAGTTACAAAATGAGTACTATAATGCCTGAGAAAAAAATACTTAGAAATTACGTAAATATTCGTAATTCCTTTTGTCGTAATAAATATTAAATAAATAAATAAAAAATATATAAATAAAAAATTAAATAAAAAATAAATATTCGTAATTCTCTTTTTGTCAGGTAACAATGCAGACAAATCATTTAGAAACTAGCCATGAGACATGGTGTCTGAACTTATTTTTTAAACATTAACATCATTTTATATTCATTGGTTAATAATATAAATTTGTCTTATGGAGAAAATGAAATCTGCTCTGGGATGAAATATTTATATGTTCAACACTTCTGTCTGTGAAGCTGTCAGTTCAAGACCATTTGTTTATACCATTCTGTAAAATGTCATTGACCAAATTCTTTCCTACTTCACTTAAATAAACTCTTACTTGATGAAAATTCTTCTGGTGAAATGAGCAGAAAATATTTGTTTACAGGCTTTTTTGTTTGGTTTGGTTTCCCTTAACGTAAGCATGTCTTTAATTATAAGTCAGTTATACGTTTGGATGAACACTGCATAATACCTCTTACATTTGTAAGAGACGTGCATCTGCAGTGAGGATCAGTTTTTGTTTAAAATGTCCATGATCTTTCTTCAAACACAATTTTAAGAACAAATTTATTTCATATAAAAACATGTATCAAACTACTAACATCAAACTACAATCATCATCTCTCCTTTTTGTCAGAAAACAAGTACAGGTCAAGTATTGCTGGTTATTATTAGTAAATCGCTACATATGAGATATAACAAGAAGATGAAAAACTTCATGATTTGCATTTTCAGCAATGTATATGTACCTCCTGACTATGACCTCTTAATTATATTATCTTTAATATCTGTAAGGTCCTACAATACTTTACATGACTGAAAAGCTCTAGAAAACAATAAATAATTTGAAAAGAGAGTTTACACATCTCCTCCCTTAAATCGGTGAATAAAACAGCAAAATAAACAGCAGGCAACCAAATCACTCATCATCTTTATCACTAGAAGTGCAGAGGAACCCTGAGGGATTACTGGTGATCACCTCAGGCTTGGCAGAACAGCAGGGAACTTCACCCAGTTTTCTGCTTAGCAGGAAAACTGTGTTTTGTAGTTTGGCAACTTCCTTGCATACCTCAGAGCAAATTTTCCACGTCAAAGTATCTGCAAGTGCTAGAAATCAAAGAGCAGAGGCAGCTCAGCTCAAACAATGCACACACAAAAATTCAAACCGTTGGGCACTATAATTTCTTCATTGCTTCTTTTTCTTTGTATAAACATCACCTTGTATATGTGCATACAGAGAGATGTAGGATCACAGAACAACATTTTAGAAATCACTTGGGTGATGTCTGGTGATGGGCACCAAGAATGAAACCGACATCAAATATGACCTGCTGACATGCTCAAGATGCCTTTTCAAACAGAGAAGAACATTCTAAGTCAATAACCGCTCAACTGAGGAACCCAAATATTCCACTTCTTCCTTTTCCAGAGCCACAGATTAAAAAAATCCAGCATCCTACCTACCTTCATAACCGTTGCTAAAGACCTAATTTGATAAGCCTTTGTTATCATTTCACTTGCTCAAAACACAAAGAATGGCTTAAAGGAATTATATATGCATTTCACTTTAGAGATCATAAGCAAGTGAATGATGCAAAAATGTTTTGTCTCTTTTAATTAAATCCCCTGAATTTAGCATTACTGAGATAAATTATTTAAGGTGGAAAATAATCCTAATAATTTTTCATTGAACGGATCTGATTGTAGAGAGCATGCTAATGTTGTATCTCCTATATTACTGAAGATCATATATACATATGCGTATTTTTATATCTATAACAAAATGATAACAAATGTCAAAAACAAATTATTTGGCATGTGGAAAGTGCCAAATGTCTTACACAAATCCCTACGGTGAATTTTTAACAGGATAAGTGAGAAAAGAAAGAGAAAGATAACCACTGTCAAGTGCTATTTAACCAATGTTTAAAGACTCAAGATCTAAGACAAATGAAGATTTGAGAAAGTTTGACTTTGTACTGCTTACACTGGTTCTGATTCTCAACAGAAACTTTACAGTCTAGTGATAAAAAGCCATGTTTAAAACCACGTTGAAAGAATGTAATTTTTAGGCACTGTTTATAAAATGGAGGAAATGAAGACCACATCCCAGGAAAACAAACTTCTTAAAATGAATTTTCCAAAAAATATAATTTGTTAGTTTAAAATTGAAATGGAAGAATTAAATATAAAATTATAAAATCCAATAATGCAAAATGAAAAAAATAGAAATACAGAAATTAGCGTAGATATTTTACCTTAAATTCCAGTTCTTTTGCCTTCATCAGACAGAATGTTAGATTTAATGTTGCATTTTCTCATTTTAAATGTATTTGTTACCACTTTGTGAGCTAAACAGGGAATTCTACGTTAAATTATTGCTTTGTCTGAAACTTTTTTCAGCAAATTCCAAGGTAATACGAACTTCCAGAAATTTATGTCAGTATATTAAAACACACCAGCATCACAGGCTATGCAAAAGTAACAGCCCTCTCTCTAGAAGCCTCTGTTTCACCATGCTGTGCATCATAACGTGTAGCCAAAGTGCATAAACTTAATGGAGAGGAAAGACAATCATGTGCTAAGCCTTTCCCCTTTCTCGGTGTGTGACTATCAGCAGATCTCATGTAAGAAGATACTGAACTCTATGCTGTAAGATGAGCTTAGTCATACCTTTATGTGACATAGTTCCGCGAATAATTTATGTATTAGACACAGATCTTGGAGATGTTAATCTTTCATGGAGCAATGGCCAGAGCCCAGACAGAGACGGCAATCATTATATCGCAATCCATATGGCACAGCTACCTTCCTGAAAGCACAGAAAGCAAGAGAAGGATTGGCATTGCTGCCAGTATTTTCCTGGCAAGGGACGGTGAAGAGGGCAGAGAGCTGTATTTAGGCAAATGTTTTCCCCAGTTTTGGCTTAAGATCTCTGCAATCTGCTTGCTTCCTGAAAGTCTTTGTTCGCAGTACAGTTTAGATGCTGTGTTACCTATTCTCTTCCATCGCAACGAATGAAGTAGGTACAATAAGTCATAGAAGGGTAGTTAACATCAGGTGTCAGATTCACACCGAATCAACAGAACTACAAAAATTTAGCATTAATGCTTTGTCTGGCCATAGCACTTATCAAGGAAAATCCTAGCTTTCTTGGACTTCCATCAGAAATGAAAATCAGATCCACAGCAATCTAGTAAATAGGAAATGTTTAAAAATGATTACTCTTTTTTTTCCTCTTGTTTCTTCTGCTTCTATTCAGGACTGTTTTCTTCTATAAAGTGAAAGAATTTTCAAGGCTTGAGGAACAGTGGAAAATACAATACATGTTGTCACTCAGTAAGGGAAGAATTTGCAGGTAGCAAGTAACCTAAAAATCAGTAATAGCTCAATGTTGCCTAACACTTATATTAAGTTAGTGATGCTATATAATTATTATGTGGATATTTAATTGCGCATGATGCGAGTCATCTTCCTGAGAAATATTTTCCATGGTTACATGCCATGCAGCAAAAAGCACATAATATGCAATAAGGGCACGATTCCAAGCTGCAAAGCTTTAGTATGACAAGAGAATAGATAGGGCCATTAGTCCCCTGGTCTTGAAAAAGAAAAAAAGAAACAGAAACAAAACTTCAATTAATCTTAAACATGAATTTCTGGATTAAGAAACCATACTGCATGTTGTCATGATAAAACAGGTTATAGCTCTAATAATTCAGATTAAAAATAAGAAATTGACAAAGATATTCAAAGTTATTAAAATTGTGACATTCCTTACTGCAAAAAATGTTATACAAAAGTGAAGAAAAAGCTTGAAATTAAGATAAGTGAGGAGAAATTCAAATATGAAAATACTGTAAATGAATAGAGAAAATTGTTTAAAAGGGTGACAGAATAAATGTTTTAGCTTAATGAAGTACAACAAACTTGTGATCATCTTCTCTTACCTACAAGAACACCTTGATTTATGTTACCAAAACTGCAGTATTTTTGTACTCCAGTTCAGCATAATGTAACAGGAAAGTGATTTTTATAAAGCAGGAACAAGAAAGGGGCAACAAGACACTATTATTTTATTTAACTATCACTCTTCTTTTCTTTAAATTAAAAACAACAAAAAAACAACAACAAAAAAAAACAACTTATCTTTACTTACAGAAACACATTCATAAAGGGACAGACGTTGAAACCTATGCTCATCTGGGCATTATCAGAAATGGAGCTGCAAGCTTATTACAACATTCTTAATCAGACACCTTCTTAGTGGAATTTCAGGACTTCTTCTGGAAAGAGAAGATCTAAAAGATCTAAAAATAGCTTTAAATTCTTGATGTCAATTAATATTTGGGAAACCTATTAGGAAAATGTTCTAAATCTTGCAATTATAATCAATACAGGATTAATTTATTACAGTTCGTACCATTAACAAAATTATTCGTGTGAATCTTATGGGTTACAACTTTGTCAATAGGGTTTGAAGCATATTACAGCTTTTTGTTACTTGTACTAAGTTTATAAGAGAAAAAAAATTGTGTTAAGACAGTTCTTTCTTTTACACGTGAAAAAGAAAACCCAGACTGGAAAAGGGAAGTCAATTATCAATTATTCAGAGAAAGGTGTTTATTGTAATTGTTCAGAGTCACAAAGTTCATTTCCCCTGAACTGTTTCTATATCCACCCGCCAATGATTTGACCCTAGACTCCTGCAATAGTTTAACATTTCAAACACATTTTATAGATTTGCATTCATTTTATCAGGTTTTAATATAGCTACAAATGATGGCTCATTACTTATGAGCACACAACAATTTTCCCATCCTCCTTGGGTAGCTTCAAAGACCTAAGATTTACATTTTTAATGAAAAATACAGGAACATAACAAAAAAGAAAAAAACAAAATCTTCATAACTGTCCCAAGAATTTATGTAAATATGTATCTCTACTTAGTTATTCATAGAGCATCTTGGAAAAGACAGAGAAGTATATTAACTTTTAGAAAATCAGATACTCTTTATGTCTTCAGAATTACATAGTTGAAATACACCTCAAAACTTGCCATAGGCGAGTAATACTATACATAGTTTGACTTTGTTCAAAGTAAAAAGGAATAAACAGGCAAGAAAAACATCTACCAGAGCAGTTGTTGTTTACAAGGAAAGGAAAAAAAAATGTTGGAGTTAAAGCAACAGTCTTTAAAGAGAGACCAACTAATAGTAACAAAAGTCATGAGTGGAAAAAGGAAAAATAATCCACGCACGCAGGAAAGAAAGACACTTTTACTCTGAGATACAACTACTCAGAAAGTGGGAATGCACTTTTAAAATATTTATTTTGTATCTGGGGAATAGTGCATCAAACAAAAACTTGTTCAATAGGACACATTTCCTCTCTACAAGAAATAATATACTGCCCTTTTGCTTGCCAATCGTGTTATTGTTGTTTCAGAGACAATAATATCAAAAATAAAATTAAGTCTCATGCAATGAAAGGAAATTTTATGTAAATGGATTGTAAAACTGATCGAATAAATCAAATAAATTCCAAAATGAAAAAGAGATTTTTATGCTCATCTGGCTACAGGCAGACTTCATCTACCTACCTGCTCGTATTTATTTTTTGCAGAACTGTTGATAAATGCTGCTAGAACAAACTTAGTTACAGAATTTTTAAGCAAATATACTACTTTCAGGCACATCTTACCATGAACTCCTCTTTTTTTCCTAGAGTTCATTTAATTTATTATGTAGAATATAATTTAAAACAACATGGAAATATTTTCTTTTTCTTCAGTAATGTTTTCTAAATACTGTTAAATCACTACCTTCAAATTTGTGCTGAATCCTGTTGGAAAGTCAAACAAAAAACACCACTGCATACAAGTCACTTACAGTCATTTTGCACTCTTTTTTGTGATTTGTAAATTATACAGAACCTTGTCATAGCATTGAGTGTGGAACAGACCCAGACCCACAAAGATTATTGAGTCCAACTTTTGGTTGGACAAAACTACCCCAAACTTCATTTCTGAAAGCCCTGTCCTTCTCGATCAGCAACAGCTCTCAGTGCCATGACCACTGCCCTGGGTAAACTGTTCCAGAGCACAATCACCCTGATTGTGAAGAAACTGTTCTAAGTATCCAGCATGACCTTTCGTTAACAGTCAAGAACTGAAGAAAACATAAAATAAAATAGCAGGACTGGAATTACTGTTCTCCAGATAAACATGATATTAAAAGAAAAAAGAAAAAAGAAGTGAAGTCTAGTAGTGCTCAAAAATGAACGTTTTGGAGTGTGGGAGGAGGACAATGTAAGTCAGTACTACAGTAACATCAGAACATTTCATTTGTGTTTTCTGTAATTTATTATTTGTAAATGCCATACTTCTTAAGCACATAGGATGACTATAAGAAATACATGGATCTGAAGAGTAAAATATCACATCCATTAATATTAAATCAAAAACATATCTAAAACAATGCTACTGAAAGTAGCCCAGCAACGTTGACATTAAATATATGAATTTTTCATACAATGAAAATATTTAAGGCTGTAGTGTCTCTGAAGTATTTTGCTAAAACATATATATTTTTTAAATTGTAATTGTCTGGCTTACAACAATTATATTTTATTTTGCTATGTAACATTAAAAATCCCTGAAGGAATACTAGGTAGTTGATCCTGCTTTAATGTTTAATATCATAAAGAAAGGATTTTTAACTTCCTCTGTAGGTAGAGTGGCAGAAAAGACTGGTAAAATAGCAAACCAACTTTATCTCCCATCTAGCTTGCAACATGGTAAAGAGCATGACAGAAACAGCATTCTACTTGGACATATAAAGGGATAAACTGAAGACACAACGGAAGGATGACTGACAATGCTTTCATGTAAAGTAAGAAACTTCAAATACACTTTTCAGAACAATTGGTCATAATGATAAAGCATCGTTTATAGATATTTGTCCATCTTGTAATGGAAGATTTTAAACCTCTGTATATATATCAAGTACAACAAAGCTGCGGGGCTATGAATTCTGGGCAAGATATTTGCATGCAAACAGGTAAAAGAGATGGAGCAGTGGAGGACGATGAAAGAGCAATACGCAGAATTTTAGTATATTTGAACATACTTGAAAAAGAAGCAAAAGCTATTTAGGCTAGAAAGGCAATTTCAACTTGAAGATGCAAAATGACCATGGTTTGGCTGTGAGTTTACAAGTGTGAGCAAAGAAAATGTATCATCTTGTAATAGCAATGCAAAATAAGTCAGCAAGATTTATACACACAGATCAAAGCACAGGACCAGTCAAAGATAAAACTGAAATATTGGTCTTCAGTGACTAGGAAACACCCATGACCTTTCAGAGGAGGTGGGGAAGAGGAGAAGACACAGGCGTAAAGCTCAGGTTCTGTACTGTGCCAGTATAAGTTTTCATTGGTTGATTGGTATTGCGCCAACATTTCTGAAGTATGTAACTTCACAATCTCTGTTACTGCAACTTTCCATACATTAATGTTATTACAGAAGGGGAAATAGTAAATTACATGACAAAGACTTGACAAAATCTACTGACAAAAAACAAGCATCTGCAAATTCTAGTCCACCACTCTTGAAATTTATTTATTTTATTTTAAGAAATAAAAAATAACATAGGTAAGACAAACAGCAAATCTTGAACTAGCGTTGCTCAGGTTTCACAGTAGTAGCAATTATCAATCTTTTTGTTTGTTTCCTTTTTGAGATCTCTAAGTACATCTTATTTATGGTATCTTGCATTCTGCAATGTCCTTTCTCTTTTTCGGCCACATAGT